AAATTTTCTAAATTGGTCGATGATAACCATCGGCAGATTTTTCAAATAACATGTACACCGGATGCTTTACTATAGCCCCAATCCATTTTTCGTAGATTTTGATTTAACATTACTTGTTATGTTACACAATTTCACGTACCCCAGCAAAAGTAAAAAATTTTAAAATTTTTAAGAGATATCCAGACAACTACTTGACTAAAATCGAATAATTTTTTTATTTGAATTCTATGAATCTATAGAATTCAAATAAAAACAAATTATCGAATTTAGTCATGTGGTTGTGGAGATATCTTCGCTCAAAGTTAGAGAAAAATCAAAACATCTCTTAACAAATATCAAAATAGAAGCTGTGGCAAATTTTTTCAAAACTTTGAATGAAGATATCTCCACAATCACCTGACCAAAATCAATGAACCTTTTTTTATTTTGAATTGTGTATATTAATAGAATTTAAATAAAAAAGTTTGTGGTTGTGGAGATATCTTCGCTCAAAGTTTTGAAAAAAATTTACCGCAGCTTCTATTTTGATAGAGATGTTTTGATTTTTCTCTGACTTTGAGCGAAGATATCTCCACAACCACCTGACCAAAATCGATAATTTGTTTTTATTTGAATTCTGTAGATTCATATAATTCAAATAAAAAAATTATTCGATTTTATTCATATAGTTGTCTGGAAATCTCGATAAAATTTTTAAAAAATTTTACTTTTGCTGGTTACGTGAATTGTGTAACGTAACGTAATGTTAAATCAATCTACATGAAAAATGGGTTGGTCCTCGATTGGTGGTTATGCTGGGTCTTTTCAGTAACGCCTCAATTGCTTTATTAATTTCAATAAACGTAACATAGGTTAAAGGTTAAAAGTACTAGGCATGGGTCTATTAAAACTTATAGCGTCCCTCAAAGTAAATTTACTTATGCACTAGAATTTTTTGCGAAAAAATATTTAAGAATAAGATTTTACAAAAACCAATTTAAAAAGTAACAGAGCCAACCCTTTTTTTTTTTATGCTTTAATGAGAAATTTTACTTCTTAACTTTGCTTGTAGAATGCATAACGAACACCTCAATGTTCAAACTTGCAGAACTCTGATTAAAATATAGACTTATGAATATTTAATCGTATTTTAATGATTCTTCAAGCCAAATAATAAACATTCTACTAAAACTAAAATTATTATAAACGTTGTCATTGAGAAAGATTATTGATGTATAAATATTCAAGGTGCTCATCAAAAGAATTTTACGAAAGAAAAGTCAAGTTATAATCCCAATGATCCAGAATATTCTTCTTATCCTGCGTAAGAATAGCCTTGACACTTCCATATGAACAATCAATAATTATAGGATACCCTGAATCACCGCCCACAAGGGTGACTAAACACTTTGACAACTTGTAATTACATGTCAATGTTATGTCACTTTTTAAATTTGGATCCGAACTGACAAACTGTATAATGCCTTTCTTACTCCCCAGATGAAACGCTTTCTTTTCATCCCAGTTGAATTCACATATGCTTTTGAACATTATACCTTTTGTAATATATGTTAATGCTTTGGTATCTTCAACATAAGGTCCTGTCTGCGTCATTACAGTTTTGGTCGACTGAGAAGCTGTCGTTGGTCCGGTTACTGCCTCAGTGATGTTAAGTCCAGACTTTACAAGCTCGATGAGTTCGAAAAGATGATTTTGTTCATGCTCTTGCTCAGTAAAATCAGACATCTCAACAAATTCAATGACATAATTATCATTATCAACAAATTTTGTCTTGCTACGATCAAGTCCCGTAACGATTTTATATTTACTGAACGGGCTCTTGAGACTTAAAGGATATCCCGATAATAATGGATGTGGCTGATTAATATAGGTATTCCCGAGCTCATACTCAAGATATAAAGACACACTTGATAGTCTTGGATCTGCACTATTAATTCGACAAATACCTTCTGTTTTACCGCTAATAGAAGCTAACCTCTCATCTATAAAAAAATGCGCTATGCTCCTAGAGATTAAACCTTGAATTAGATAAGTTAAGCTTTTTGGGTCAGCAAACAAGCTCGTTGTTTGCACGCCTATAGACTTTTTAATGCAGCCTTTTTGTCTGTTCATGGTTGTTAAAAAGAAGACTACGCAGTGTTTTCATAAAGCGTAAATTTATTAAATTTAGAATTGTGTAAATAAACAAATGATCAAATGACTATTAAAAAAATCAATATTAATCTGGTTAAACGTTGTTTTTTTTATTGCTATTGTTTCCAATTCGAGATTTAGAAAATTTTGATTGGTCGATCTGTTTCAAGGTATCCAGCGCTAGGGACATGGGAAATGATAATTCACTTGGTAAGTTTTAATTAATTGGAATTTTGTTTCTGACCTATTAAGGTGTTAAGAAAGTTCATTTTCAAAGTTTTGGTTATTTTTTTTTATAAATCTTTAAATTACTCTTTCTTCTTGAGGCCATACAACTTAATATATAATTTGGATATCTATAAAAAATTTTTACGAAATCACGCATATGGACGTTATTTTGAAGATCGGCCCCTTCAAAAAATAGCTTGCATAACCTTGAATTAGCGCCCATAGTCGTCCGAATTACGCGAAGAATGATATATTGCATTCAAAAAATCAACTTCATTTCGAAATAACGCACAAGGACGTACCCGAAATAAAATATATGTTAAGTAATTAATGTGCAGATGGCATTATTTCATACTTATACAGTACGTTTTATAAAAGTCGGATTGCAGGTCATTTTTTAAATTTTATGTTATGAATTGTATAGATTAATAATAGATCTAAATTTGCCTTTTATTATTCTCGTTAAATGTATATAATTGGCTTGCAAAACTGGAATTCCCTCTGAAGAAATGTTCATCTGAAATATTGGTTGCGATTATCAAACAAAATTGGTTATAAGTGTAAACACGCGTAGCAACTTTACTTGATAGGTCTATGTGAAATTTTACAATATGGGTGATGCCTTAATTAATATAAATATAATATATAAGTTATCACTTTCATCACATGAAAATGCAGCATAATGGCCTCTAAATAGTATTGTCTTTTTGTCTTCCACTTAATAATATTTAGCTAAAAAAGTTCGTAAATATATTAGGCCATATAAAGTTAATTTTTGGTTCTCATAACGTAAAATTTTAAAATGGTCTGGCAACCCGGCTTTTAATTTTATCTTCAAAAAATTTTATATATCAAAAACTTATAAATTTTTTTAAAAAATTTAACCCGAATAGTAAATATAGTCAAAATTTTTTTTCAAAATTTTGCTGAATTTGACCCGGCCGGGTTATGAGAACCAATTAATTAAGTTTGTGTGGCCTTAAGCTAAATCATTATTTAAATTCTTTTTTTTTTTTTTCATGAGAATTATTTAAAAACCAGCAAACGCATAAATAAAAGAAAACTCAACTTCAAAGTCAAAAGAAGAAGAAAATCAACATAAAGAACGGGTTCCAGCATACGAATCAGAATTGATTCTCATAATTTATAGAAAACCGAGTCTATATATTTATCGGATGGAAGCCATTAATAATTGTCTTAGAAATATAAACCCTACCAAACTCCACCAACAATCTTTTATTACAAACTCTAAAAAAAAAAAAAAAAAAAAAAACCCCCCCCAAAATTTTTAAAAATCGTATAACAAATATATTTTAATTTCGTCATTATCCGTGACAATAATTTAATGGTTGCTTTACAGCCGTTTTCAAAAATTTGTGGAAAGATGCTGATCACTATACCATGGAGAATTCACGATATTTCGATTTCCCACATGGGTATATGGAAATAATTTTCCACATCTTTTTGAAAACAGCCGTAAAAGTTTTGTGAACAGACACATATTCTCCGTAGGAGAAAAACTCAACCTTTAAATTTAAAGTAACTGCGAAAAGACATGACCGTAAATTTCAGAAGAGTATTAAAACCAAGTTGTAAAATACAATCTATATCTAAAACTTTATCAAAATTTCTTATTAATTTTCAAAAAAATTGCAAACCCTATGAAAGAGCAATGATTTATTTGGTGAGGAAGATTCGTTTTCTTTTCTGGCCTCAAATTCCAAAAAATTCCTTATTATTCCTATCTTTTAGTCTACACTCTCTTTTCAATTTCGAAAGATTATCCAGAAGTAAGTTTATTATACCGTAGAGGCGCGTAACAACATATTTCAAAATTCATTTTTTTGAAAATCGCATATTTGACTCAAAATAATGCCTATGTACAGTACGTCTCGAAATAACGCGCCCTACATACATAGCCGCAGGAAAGTTTTTAGTAGTTGTAACCTTTTCTCAAGATTAGATAATGATTCGAACTATCGCGCATACATACGTTCCGAAATAACGCGCGGATGCGAGTTATTATGCGCCTATACGGTATTAATATACATAAGTTAAATTGGGTAAAATAGCGGAAGGATTTACAAATATCAAGTTTCAATCAATCAGGTTCTAACCCACCAAAGTTCTAAAGATCCAACTAATACAAGTAATGAACTGCCTGAGGTTGCTCTCAAGCACCTCACCTTATGGTTAATAAGATAATCTTATAGAAGAGCTTATGGAAAAGGCACGAAAAGTCTTTCAGAAGAATCGACAGACGACTTGGATTGAAAAAAAAATATATGAAGTTTGTACACTTAGCTTGGTGTGAAAAAAGAAGCGATCAAGTGCCGTGTCCATACGCAAACTGGATCGAAAATTGTATGTTCGAAGGGAATTTCGGTAATTAATTGGTGATGTAGGAATTATTAATACATATTAATACATGATAATAGTATTAGAAAGTATGTATAAGACTGTAAAAGTGTGTAATAATAACGATGCATGAAATATACATAATTAATTTAAGAGTTAAAATGGTTTGATTATGATGTAATATGTTAGGTAAAATCGATATTTATATACGAAAGTAAAGACATTAGTAAACTTTTTTTTTTCCTTTAATAAAGTCGAATATGAAAGTAAACCAAAATATTCGCCTTTTGAATGTGCGTCCCGTGTCTCTGTGAGCGTTGATTATTAAACTTTTACCATCTGGGTTGGGTCTTTTAATGGCGAATTAACCTGCGAGACTGACTCAAATACCTTTTTCATCTTTAGAAATGCCTGTGCCTATTTCATAGCATTCAACTATGATTTCATTAACAGCAGATTTCGAAAACTGCTCGAAATTAACGGTTAATCAAAAGATTATTGATTTAAAGCTCTGGAACTCTATTATCATTAGATTATCATTTTCTATCTATATATTTATAAATATAGTACTACTATAAAATTACTCATCGGTCATGTGTGTCCTGAATCAAGAACGTAACAATACTATTAAATTATTGTCTTTACCGTTACGTTTTTTGATTCCAAATATGGTCATATTAAGTTTTGTGATTTTTTGTAAAAATCTAAAAGTGAGAAAGTTCACGAAAGTTCATGCAAAAAACTAATCTGATTAAGAACAATCATACTAATTACACATGTAATGCACATTTGCAAATTATGGCCCATGTTAAAATATTCGATACATGCTAAAATTAAATGGCTAATATCGATATTGATATGGTTAATAAGAAAAATTATAATCTCTTCGAGACAGTATTTCTGTATTTGCAGCCCTTAATATAATCCTGTTTGATCACGTTTAATGATATCTAAAGACCAGCAGACTGTAGAATTTGAGATTCAGATCTGTGTATATTTCACATGATTCTGTTTACATACATACGTACGTCATATAAACCAAGTCTTACAAGTACTTTAAACTTGAACTTAAATAATATTTGTATAAGAGCAGTAAACGGTAAAAAAAATATAGAGCAAGAAAACCACAAATTATACGTATTCAACCGATCTGGAAATTGCACCTTATATTTATGCATTCGCTAATTAAATTGCTAATTGTTATTTATTAGTTTTAATCGTGCACGAACAGCTCGATGTGCACTATATTTATACATTAGATAACTTAATAAAGTATTTGAATAAATTTTAAGCTTAGGTTTTTATCAAACTATAAAAGAACCAAATACTACTGTACTAGATACTCCCTACGACGCAAACCTTATTTCTAATAAATGATTGATATTTTTTTACTGCTCCAATCTGTTTTTAATTGGTTCTAAAATAAATTCCTTGATGAACTCGTTGGTTATTATTACTGCCCCGCTAATTACTGTAAAAGAATAGCGGCGTTAAACATTTTTTCATTCTGATTCCTATTGAGAACAGCCAGAATGGCGCTAGTTAAACCAAGAAGCAAAGATAAATATTTAACAAGCCGGCTGTAAGATAACCATTTTCTTACAGTAGCCAACTTTTCTTTTCCTTTCTCCCAGTAGTTGATTAGTTGGTCAAATTTTCTTTTTAAAATTTCCATGAAAAAGAGGAAAAACGAAACCATCAAGAACATTGGAATGAAAGTTATCAAAAAAAAAGTATGATATCCAAAACAACGCCATTATCTGGTATTAAAGAAACTGATGGTGAAGCGCAAAAAAAAAACATATAGAACCAAGAAAAAACTCACTCAAAATAAAAAAAACCACGCAAAGGATAAAAAGCCTTAAACATTGTTTTAAAAGCAAAGAAAACAAATTATCCCTCCAATTGTTTATCCACTGCTCTCTGTCGTTTCTAAATTTCTTATATTCTGAATATAGAAAAGATGTCAAGTCAAGAAGCCCAAAACTAATATTGGAGCGTGAAATGACGAAATTATAATTATACTAAACATCTTTAATATTTAAAGAAACCAACAGCAGAACGTAAAAATAAATATATGGAGTAAAAAAAAGAATCACAATAAAATAAACCATGGCAAAAAGATTTAAAAATAGGTCTAAAAGCAAAGAAAACCAATTATTTCTCCAGCTGTTCCAACTTTCTACCCAATGCCTTCTATCATTTCTTAATCTTTTATATACATAATATATAAAGTAAAATAATAAAAAAAATTGCACTATAGACCAAAAAAATTTTCAGTAAAGCAATGAATATCACAAAAAAAAAGGTCATTTGTTATTTTTTTAAATTTTGTTCTTTTTTATTAAACTTTACTACGATAACATTTTAGTTGATTTATTCTGGGTTTGTGCTTCCTAAATTTGTTGCATTTAATTATCCTGGTTACACATGGTAGTTGTTGATTTATTTTTACTGGGTACATACTGCATAAATTGCATTCTTGATATTTTTATAAAAAAATAACCATTACTGGACATTTATTCAAGAGAAAATTAATTTTAAATGTGTTGACATTGTAGTAAGATATATTTATTTTTCGTGAATATTATATTAGAATATTCTTCTAACTGCATCAAAAAACTAACTCTAACTGAACTTGGCTTTAGAATCGAAAATACAATAAACGAGTGTCTAAGCCTGTTTTGGAATACTAAAAAATGTTTCGAGAGCAATTTTACCTATAAACCTACTCAACCCCTAACCTCTGAACAACCCAAACCCTAATATTTTAAAGGTCATTCCAAATAAGGAATTTTGAAATACGTTTCGGTAATATTAACCCGATTTGTTAAATGGTTAAATGGCCAAAAAACAGTACCCGGTTATGAGTAGGGATGTTATAATTCAGTCTAATTTAGTCTGGTTCATAATAGGCCGTTTATACATTTTAGCTGTTAATTTGCGTACCAGACTGGACTAAGGGACCGTTATTAGAACCAAGGGTGTTGTTATAAGATCAATTCGATTTATGTACAGTTTCAATTTAAAAAAAAAACCCCCCGATTGATTAAAATAGCACATTTATTTTAATTATTGTTACCACTATGTATATTTATATATTATTATAATGATAAAATATGTAACTATTTTTTGACATTTAATTAACTATATTTTATCGTTGAGTCCAACTAGAGTTGCAGGTGAACCCAATTAATTTCACCAGGAAACTGGTGCACCATTGAAGATTAGTTTCATCTATAACTCTAGTTTTACCATCGGTACACCAGTTTCACCTGGCACACCATTGGTGTACCATTGAGGATTATTTTCACCTGCAACTCTACTATAAACACAAAAAAGAAAAATTTAATAGGTCACCTAACACTAACGTACAGTATACGACATAATGAACGTTGCGCAACGTAATACATATCTTTTATAAATTTGATGCTTTATATCGATATGTGGCACATTCTTTCTTGCAGCAAGATGTCAATTTACAACAAACAATATGTTAAGCAGCCAGAAAAAATTGTTAAAGAAATGTGTAATCTGTATAATGAAGAAGCATTGAAAGGCCAAGATTCCCGTTCAATTCTTGACACATTAGAACAATTTCTAGTAAATAAAAAACAAAATCCAGATTATATTATCAGTTTTTGCTTAAATGACCATGCCAATCCTATAATTCAAAACATTCTCGCATGTTGTTATTATTATGGTAAATGGGTCGAAAAGGATGAACACAAAGCATTTGTTTATTATCAAAAATCTGCTAAGATGGGAAATTCTACTGCAATAAATCAAATTGGATATTGCTATCAACATGGAATAGGAGTTGAAAAAGATGAACAAAAGGCATTCGTTAATTATCAAAAATCTGCAGAGATGGGAAATGCTTCTGCAATATATAATCTCGCAGATTGTTATAATAATGGAATAGGGGTTGAAATGGATAAACATAAGGCATTCATTCATTATCAAAAATCTGCTGAATTGGGAGATGCTCAAGCGATATGTCAAGTTGGAATTTACTATCAGAATGGAATTGGAGTTGAAAAAGATAATTATAAAGCATTTCTTCATTATCAAAAAGCTGCCGAGATGGGATATACCAACGGAATGTCTAAACTTGGTTATTGTTATAGAAATGGGATTGGGGTTTCGAGAGATTTACAAAAGGCTGACTATTGGTATCAAATGTAAATAATCGGTTTATTTAATCTTTACTATAATTATAATTTTTTAACATGCATTTTCTAATAATAATTAGGGCAAAAAATAAGATGTCAGGTAATTTTATTTAATTTACTTTCGATATTGTATAAATTTATTTTCTAATGTTTTTTTTTAGTCATAGATGAATGGGCAAAAGAAAATTCTGACATTGATGATGATGTTAAAAAATTATTTGTTGAAGGAAAGTATCCGTTATCATGGATTACATATAAAGAGTTTACAAATATTAAAAAAATAGGACAAGGTGGATTTGCAACAGTATTTTATGCCGCATGGTCAGACAATAAACAAAAGATTAATAGAAAAGTCGCGCTCAAATTGATTGATGGATCAAAATCTTATAACGAAGAATTTATAAAAGAGGTCTTTTATTTATATGCACAATATTTTCTTTAATAATTTTAAAATATTGCATTAAATACTTATTTTAATTTAACATTAAAGTTAAAGGCGTATTGTGATATTAGTTCTAAACATCCCTCATTTTTAAAATGCTATGGAATATCAAAAGATGATTCTGGAGATTATATCCTTGTCCTGGAATATGCTTCACAAGGTTCATTGCGTAAAAATCTTCGATCTGTAGCAGAAATGAAATGGAAAGATAAATTAACATTATTGCATTGTATTGCTTCTGATCTTCGAATAATTCATTCTCAAGAACTTATCCATCGAGATTTGCATAGTGGTAATATTCTGCAGGGAAATTTACATAGCGCTTATATTGCGGATTTGGGACTTTCCATATCAGCAAATATAGCAATGAATGCAGAGAGACGTGGAATTTGTGGAGTTTTACCGTATATAGCACCAGAAGCTTTAGATAGAGGTTATTATTCAACAGCTTCAGATATTTATTCATTTGGCATAATTATGGAAAACCTGTATCGTATAATCGAGAATTTGGATCACAACTTCAAATTGAAATATGTAATAACGACTTACGGCCAGCTATTATCGAGAGTACTCCACAATGCTACATAAGTCTGATGAAGAAATGTTGGGGAAAAGATCCAGTAAACCGTCCGTCAGTAACGAAAATCTGTGAAATCCTTGCAGAATGGATGAAAGACAAAAATATATTATTAGAACTAACTAAATCGGATGAAGTATTAAAAAATATTAAAAGTACGTATATACAGACGTATCCTGATGATATTTATAAAAGTAAATTTATTAGTTATACTACATCGCTTTATCAAGGTATCTATATTTATTATTTTGCATTAATAAGATTTAATCTTTAATATTAATTATAATTGTTTAACAGATAGCGGATTGAATGAGTTAAATATGGATGCGTTGATTATTAATGAATAATATAAAATATGCTGTAATTGAAAAAATGTATTATGTAAATTTCGTTTATTTTTGAATTGACTATTTGATGTTCTTAGTGGATGTTTGACTGCAAAAATATTTATGCCACATTTTATTTGCCTTTTACTATTTTTTTTTTTATTTAATTATATAACTTCTTAATATTGTAGATTCTTAGTAAATTGAATTCTTTAATGATTCATTCTCCAATAAATTGTCAAGTTTTACACAGCAATATATGCTAAAGTGTATTTTGAAAAATGCACTCAATTTGAATAGTTAAATACGGTGTTTTGAACCGACCAAGTTTATATAGTATTAAGCTAATGTACTGCATTTGTAAGTTGATACAATGCGAAATGTCTGAAGATTCAGAATCAGCTTAAGTTTGTTCTGAATATATTTTAATGGATTTTAAATCCTAAAAATGACTTAAGTATTAAAGTGATATCTTAATAATAAAATATCAGCGAAAATTTAATCAGATTAATAAAAATTATTTAAATTATTTCTACAAATTTTTTAAAAAATTTTTTATTAAGTTTGGTCGAGTTTTTGTTAAGTGATTCTGTTTAAAGCTATAAAAAATTTTTTTATAAAAAAATTGCTTGATTTCTATTCGTTCACGCATATGTTTGATGAATTGTCATTAGTGATGTGCCATTTATATGATATCTGAAAAATTTTAGCGTACAGTACGTTGAGAAGGGTAAAGTTGATCCGGATACTCAAAATATGGCCTTCACGGGTATCAACTAAGACTAATCCAATCTAAAACAACACACTAAACTACTAACTCTACCGAACCCTAATTGTGGAAGGCTACGAAAGAGGGCGTGGAAAAACTTGGTCCGAGTTATTAGGGCCAAATAGAGCTCTGGACTATGTCACGAGACTCTAATTAAGAATCACGGGATTATAAAATTCACTTATCGGGGGGGTGATTGAGCGAAACGATTAAGTTGGGATAATAGACTCTTAATTGAGTCGAACTCTTCTGAGCTACTTTTTATTCAAGGCCAACAGCCAGCGCTTTTATAGCTTTTAACGCTTATAATAAATATGGTTGAGTTTCTATTATAGCTACTTATTATTCGCATAATTCACAGAATTCGCAAAATTCTCATAATTTGCAAAATTCCCATAATTCCCAAAATTCACAAAATTCACAAAATTCTCATAACTTCCAAATCGGGTAAGGGTAACTATTCTAGAG